GTAATTACGATGTGATGTATCAATTACGTGTGTGAACAAAATTATGCTATATGAGGTCATCGCCATCTTGGATTACAAGCAGTAGTTTTTCCCGGCCGTTTCAACTTGTGCTGATCACGGTTACTAAATTCGCTGACATAAAACAAGTTTTATTCTTGAAATTCGACACTGTGTCTTAATGTTCCCACAGTTCTTGACCGAGTGCTCACGTTTATTGAAACCTTGCATAAATCAAGAAATAAGTACGTGTACAAAGTGTACGAAAGCATTCCTTTATTTGACCTTATACGATCACAAAAACAACTTTTTTAAATCTTTTTTGGGGTGGTCCTCGGGTAAGCGCCCACCCCCAATTTTTCCCGATTTTGTATGTTCAGGCCCCTGGGCGCGTGCCCGGGGTAATACGGTAAATCATACCTGTGTACATTGTTAACATAATTATCATCATCATCTTCATCATCATCATCATCGCCGCCATCCTCATTTCCATCTTCAATTTCTTCTTCATGTGCATTATCACCTTCCTCATACTGATCTCTCCCCTGTCCAGGTATACCTGGAATTTGTGCCTGCATTTGTGGCTCTCTGTGTTCCCGCTGCTGCATCTGCAAGAATGAAAGATAGACATTGTCTATGAGCACTACAGTGTGGATACAAAAGGCCAAGTTTAAATATTATGTGTTCAAAATATGGTGACCTAGTTCAAGATGGATTTTTTTTATTAAGTGTCCATCCTTAATTACCGCTCATATGACAATTGTCTTGAAGGTGTTAATGAATAATTTATTTATTTGGAATGCAACATACTGGAAGATCAGACAATCAAAATGTGATAGCGGTTCTCATATATCTTACCTCTAATTGTTGTTGTTGTTGACGTCTCAGCAAGTCATCTCTCGCCTCCTGGTCTCTCCTTTCTGCCTCTTCTTGAATCAACTTCTGCTGCCTTGCCATCTCATCTTGATTGAAAATATCTAAACCCAAAAAAATTAGAAGACTTGTGGTAAAAAAATCATCAAACTGGTAAATGTTCTTTTAAAATTGTTGGGACTACTTTATTTGATGCATACTTTTATATTAATTATATATGCCATCTAATTATAACTACATCTGATCATCTGACAAGATTTGTCAACCAATTGGAGCATGCCTTATTAGAAAGCAGCATGTAACATTGGGTATGATTGATTGCTGATTAATCGTGTGAGTTTTGATTGGTTGATGTCATCAGATGGAGTTAAAGGCAATGTACACCATTACTCTGAAATAACACTTACCGTACTTGGTTACTGTATTGGAGGTTTTGTGTGTGGGAAGCAGTAATAGTAGATTTTCAAAACTTTTCACATTATGCAAGATTTTAACGAGGGGAAAATTAATCATCATCAAATATGTATAACACATTATTAAACGATAAAAAATCTTCATACCAGTACTTGTTAAATGCAATACGATATGTTAACATCACTACAATGCTATGACCTTTGTTTGTCCTGTTTTTACATTCAATTTCATAAATAACACAGGACCCAGAGAAGTTTTTCTAAGTGCAATCTTAACTTCTTCTATCTATGTTAATTCTGGGCCAGTGGAGTAGAGATGAATGATCTAAAGCAATTCAGGGAGATGACAATAGACAGAACAGCCAGAAAGATGAGCTCACCTTGTTGTTCATGATCTGGTACCCTGTCATCAAACTCATGTTGCTGCTGGTGCTGCTCCTCCTGTTGCTGTTGTTCAAACTGATTTTGTTCCCTGTATTGTTCTCCTCCCCATTCCCGCCTTTAAAAAGAACAACAACAAAATGACAATGATTTTGTGTACAATTTTATGAATACTTGTATTTAATATTTCATAATTCAATACTCAATATTTCATCTTGCATTGAAATCGCCTCAGTAGAACTAACAGCATGAGGAACAGACAACCATATCAATTATCCTCCCACATGACATTGATAACAATATGCAAATGTGCAATAGATGAGTTATACATTTTCCCCAGTGCTATATCAACTGAAAGTTACAGTGATAATGTACTATGATCTCATTCTTCAATGGTTCATTACATTACTATAAATTTGTAGAAATTCCAGATTCCTGTCAGGGTTGAATTAACCAGTTGAAAGGCAATTAAGTAGCCAGGATACTAGATAGAAGACAATAATCCATTGGAATAATCCACACTTAAATATTTAACTTAATTCCACTATATATGTAGCTTAACAACAAATCTCAGAATAAAAATTAATATTAATTTGACAGAGAAAAGTTTCCACATGCCAAATTTGGTTGCTTATCAGCTCTTCTGACTTACCTTTTTTCTAAATCCTGATCTACAACCTGTTGGTGATGATCATACATATCACGTTCTCTTTGAAGTCTATCGTCTACTCGTTTGACGATCTCTAAAAAAAAAGACAAAGAGAAAAACAAATGCATGCATTGTTCATTGCAAGTGGAACTCCTATTGAATACAATATGCCATATATTGATACACTTAGCACAATTGGCGGATCAGATCTCGTTGAGGTCGAAAGAGCCACGATAGACGTATTTGTTCGTCAAACAGTGAGCCTTTTTCTCAAGTCCACTATTTCAAATACCGGGTTTAAACTTTTCACCACTCGTTCCCTTTTTTTCATCACAGATCACAAAATACTTCTGCTAGTCTACAAAATAGTCTACACTTCATTCAGAAGACTAGGACAAAAATGGCAAATTTGTTTTGAGTAAAAACTGAAAATTGACTCGCATTTTGTCTGTTGGGGTCTGAAATTAGGGTTCATTTCCAAAAATATAAAAAAAAATTGCAGACAAATTTGGGCGAGAAAGTCTGGTGGTGAAAAGGTTAAATAGATCAGTTGATGAGATGATAGAAGAGAATGGAAAACCAACGTGTCTTCAATATATATAAAAAATAAGAAATAAATAGCATAAATATGCAGAATTTCAATCATTGATTTTCTTTGAATAAACATAAAATGCAGTTACCCATTTTATGTTCTTTAAGGTAGTTATCCCAGAATGCACCATAATGAGCCATCCTCATATCGTAGCCATCTGGTCCATCTTCAGCTTCAGCCTGGAATTTCTTATGATATTTCTCTTGTTCTATGTCAATTTCTGCCTGTATTAGTTCATCACGTCTGGCATCATACTGATCATTTGGATCCTCTCTCTCGTCTCTGGCGTTATACTGATCGTTCGGGTCATGTCTCTCGTCTCTGGCATTATACTGATCATTCGGGTCATGTCTCTCGTCTCTGGCGTTATACTGATCATTTGGGTCATGTCTCTCGTCTCTGGCGTTATACTGATCATTTGGGTCATGTCTCTCGTCTCTGGCGTTATACTGATCATTCGGGTCATGTCTCTCGTCTGGGTCCTGTCTCGCAGCAATTTGATTCACAACTGAAATAACGAAAAAGTGAAACTTCTTCATCAAGTACAGCTCAACACGAGTTCAGAGGGACTACACTATCAAAATGAAATTTTCTCTAGTCTCTGAGTATTTGTACCACATGTGTAATGTTACATATTTATGGTCAAAATTGGTCATAATGTCAATGATCCAGCACAGAATAAATGTAATGTTAAAGTGCCTGTGAAATGCCCACTCACACGTTTCCCATTTTAGATCTGTGTCCTACAGAAATAGACAGTTATTGACATTGTTGTTGAAAATGATTGCTCGTATCAAAGTAAATTTGAAATATTTCTCATGCTGTAGCCACACCTAACTATCCTGAAACGATCGATTGTTTCCGGATTTCCGAATCTCGCCAAAGTTAAAGTGCACCACCAAATGCCAAAATATGAGAGGAACCCATACTTTTGAGCCGTACTTTTATAACACATAATGCACTTTTTGTCTAGTTTTTTTTTTTGAGAGAGAGATTTTTAGGGTTGTTTTCACAAAAACATTTATGATGGTTAAACGTTGTGTTGTGGTCGGGTGGAGTGATACGTATAGCTATAGTGTTTTCAAATTGATCCAAAGGTGCGACATCAGTGGACAAAAGTAGTGAAAGCAACGAGAAAAGTTTGGGATGGACGTTCTCCTTACACCATCATATGTAGTGCCCATTTTACCTCAGATTTTTGTTTCATAAAACTATCCTCGTTAATGAAAGAACAACCAGCTTTTAAAGAAAAGCGCAGATAACTTAAACTAGGTGCAATACCATCACTTGTTCGTGTTACGTAAGAGGTAGCATTTATTTTAAAACTTGCGCGAAATCAAAGCGACGACAAACAGGAAATTACGCAGCACTTACACATTGCTATTTGTTTACATTTTCACAGGCTAAAATAATTGTTTGCTGATTGGTATTGAATGACGAATTCACACCTGTTACCTTTACTTGCAGCTTGATCGTATAATAATTTATGGAATAAGAATCCACACTTGGACTGTCCATGTGTCCTCAACACTTTCACCCATTTCAACAAAATGCGGCTGTCATATAGTAACGACTTAGTATTTAGTAACTGTGATTTGTCGTATTTTAAAAAAATATTTCTCTATTTTATTAATCACTATAGTTTAGAAATCTTCATTTTCAATCTTTATTTTTGAATGTTTGTTTTATTTTTTACTCAGACGATCGATGAAATAAAACAGTGCGACAAACTTGATATTATGTGTTCATTATGGTTCGTTCTAGCCCTGCGTACAGTGCTGTGTGTAACTTATTCGGTTGATAGATGTCCCCACCACAGCCCTGCGTACCTCCATAGACAAAGTCCGGGACTTTGAAAAATATAACTTTTTTAATGAAATAACATGCCCAGGTACCAAAAATGATGATCGATTACAAGCCTGATTTAGATTTTTCTTGCGGTGTTTTTCGTCAATGTATTAAATATAAGTGCTTTGGGAAATAACATAATTATATTGCGCGAGTGAAAGAGTTTGGTGAGACTGTCACAACACGTTTTATTTATTTCCAACGCGCGTGGTCGGCTCCTCTGATTGCGTTTAATTTGTATTTTTGTTTTCAAAATGTATCACTGGCTGCGTTTGTTTCGTTTTCCTCAACAATTAACTGTTCCAAGATCTCTTTCATTTTTCGTCCGGCTGCTGCCAATCCAATAATTCGTCGCCGCATGTACATGTACATGTACATGTACATTTTGAGCGCCGTTCGGAATAAATTTAGTCAAAATCACACACACAACACACAAATACTAGTACATATCGCGATTGACCAGTTATACAGCTGCTTGAACTACACACACAAGGACGTAAATATGTAAATACAGGTCACATTTGGACTTGCCTAGCAAACGTTACAATGTGTCAAGTGATTTGAAGGCGTCTTTGTCCCCTTCCCAAAACAGAGAAGCAATAGATGTTGTGTTTTGAATCGTCATTAAAACCTAAATTTATTACAAATACAAACAAGTTTATACATACAATGTACGATCATTGTTACTCCAGCGGTCGGTTGGCAAGCCATACCAGGAGCGAGCGAGCAAACAAAAGCGAGCGAGCGAGCGAACAAAAGCGAGCGAGCGAGCGAACAAAAGCGAACGCGAGCGAGCAGGAAAAAAAGCGGTCGGTTTCCGGTCGGAAATTAAGCGATAAGCAGTCGGAAAAAAAGCGATAAAAGCGGGAGGTTGGGCGGAATGAGTACTGTATATACACGTATTGGCAATGCAAGCTGCCCAGCGACTTCCTTTTCTGACGTCACAAGGGGAATTTCTGTATGCAAATGAGAAGCTAATGAGGAGCCTCGTTTTAAAATACACAAAAGTAAAGTTGCCTTGACCTAAAGTTTGAAATACATTTTTTCACTTTAAACAAATATTTTCAGCTTAGAAACATAAAAATTAATATTTATGTACCAATGTTTAGGCAAGAAAATTGTAGGCATTTCACAGGCACTTAGTTTAAAAGCAATTTTATCGCGAATGGATTCTTAGTATTTATTTATCTAGTATGGTATTTATTTTTAATGTCAAAGTTTAAAGAATTAGAAACTTGTTGATAAAATTAATAAATTATCAGTTTAAGTTTGATGTTAGCAAAGCTGATACAAATATTAGATTAGGAGCCCAGAGAAAAATATTCAGGTTTTACACATTCAAGTTAAAAAAAAAAACGATTTTGGAAAGCAAATGGACCAAAAACAATTTTTGTTAACTTGGCCTAAACTGTTATAATTACCATTTTCTTCCCGCATCTCCCGCTGTTCATCTCCTCTCTGCTTCTCTTCATTGTATTTTGCTAATTCCACCTGTGAAAACATGAAAGTACCAATTTACTTTGAATGCTGCTTTTTAATTTACATGCAATAACAAATATGATATACCCACTGCATAGGTTGATATGGAACTATGTGGTAGAATCAAACACAAATAATGAAGGGTTATATAAAGGATGTTGATATGAAAACAACCTGGTGAAATGAAAAACGATAGAGATTGTCATGAAGAATGTTGCCATGGAAACCACCTGGTGGAAATAAACAACTGAAGATGGTTGTCATAGAAGATATTAGAGAGAAAATCAGCAATTGGCAGCCCTGTGTAGTTTAAGTAAATTATTATAATATGTTTCCATTTGCTTTCAAGTTTCCCTACAATATATAAATAAAACCCAGGGGTTTGAAGCTCTTTAAAAGCTCTGAAAAGTAGGTGTAACTGCTCCATTAATAGTTAGGAGAATGGCAGCACTGATGGAAGCAGTTTTGTACTGATTAGCTGTGGATCAGGGCAACTGTTGCACATTTTCACTTAGAACCGTATTCTTTTTAGTACACGTAAAAAGCCTGTGAAAGGAATGATGTTTTAAAATGTGAGCTGAGCTTAGAGACATATGATCACTATAAACAGCATTTATTACAGGTATGTGTGATTTTACCATGGGATGTATTCATCCTTGGAAAAATAAGTAGATTGAATAGATATGACATAGAAAATAAAACAAAATGGCCAGATGTCAAATTGCCAAAGCGGACATCCTTGTTAAAAAAATCTTCCAAGGTAAAGTCGCAATGCATGGCCGAATGAATACATCTCAGCTGGTGAAAATGGGTCAGATGTCTGGCTGACCATCCATAAATTTTTTACAAGCAGTATTCATCCACATAGATTTGTTAAGATAAACTGTAATTTGAAATTCATAAAAACATGTTTATTTTATATAAAAATATTCACAGCTTTTTGGAATGTATTGCATCAGCAAAGTGGTTATGTTTATTATGATTTATTAACACAAATAAGAGTCTACTGTTGATTCATGGAGACAATATCTTTAACTTTACATGATTCTTATACAAACATTTACTAAGACAATGAAGAAAGCAGAAGAAAGACTGGTGGGTAGGACTTAACTCGTACAGACAATTCCTTCATGGACACTGAATGAGCTGACAACATACACTCAGTGAGTCATGAGGTGAGTGATTGCTTAATCATAATAATTTCATTTTTCATAAATCCAAACAGTATTTTCCAACCTCCATGTCTGGGTTCAGCATATTTTTTCCACCATTACTCAGACCACCATGAAGTATAGCTTTGTCCTCATTCTCATCTTCTTGAGCATCATCACCAACATCATCACCATCATCTCTAATCTGCTCTTTTTCTTTAACTCCCTCCTCCTCCTCCTCCTCCTCATCATCATCATCATCCTTCTCTTCGAATGCACCAACATCTTTCTCAATGTGCTCGTCTCCAACTTTCCTCATTTCCTCATCTTCTACATCATTCTCATTTTTCTCTTCTACTTTCAGAATTTCCTCATCGTCTACATCATTCTCATTTTTCTCTTCTACTTTCAGAATTTCCCTAACATTTTCTGGTTCATCTGCTACAAACTTTACACCATGAAATGGGTTTTGTCGGTCTTGCTGATATTTTTTCACCCACTGGTCATATCGGTCAGCTAACTCTCGCTCATCTTTGCTCAGTGGGACAGCTCCTCGATGTCCAAAATTATCTAACTTTATAAACAATTGAAGGTGCAAACATTTACGAAAATGAAAACTAAGTAATGACAGTAGTGGAAATTATTTTGCCTAAAATTTGCAAACTTGAATTTTATATTTTATAAACAATTCTTTGTTTACTATGCATTTACTAAGGTTATCACTTAAGAATAAGTTATAAGAATACTATACAGGACCATTGGAAGATGATGGCAATATGACATACACGTACCTTGACAAAACAATAAAGAACATAAAATAGATCAACCATGAAATTTGATACTGTCAACAATATCACCATACTGTGTTGCACAATTGAACAATGCTACATGATTCAGTATAAAAACATGCCTACATATATTTTGACATAACTAGGACGAGTAACTGTAACACTCATAATTATTAGGCTATTTGTAATTTCCTCCCAACTTTTCAATTTCCATAATCCAACTAGTCAATTCCCATAATCCAACCACTCAATTCCCATAATTCAAACCAGTCAATTCCCATAATTCAAACCACTCAATTCCCATATTTCAAACCAGTCAATCCCCATAATTCAAACCAATCAATTCCCATAATTCAAACCAGTCAATTCCCATAATTCAAACCAGTCAATTCCCATAATTCAAACTAGTCAATTCCCATAATTGAAACCAGTCAATCCCCATAATTCAAACCAGCCCATTCCCATAATTCAAACAAGCCAATTCCCATAATTGAAACCAGTCAATCCCCCATAATTCAAACCAGTCAATTCCCATAATTCAAACCAGTCTATTCCCATAATTCAAACCAGTTTATTCCCATAATTCAAACCAGTCTATTCACATAATTCAAACCAGTCAATTCCCATAATTCAAACCAGTCAATTCCCATAATTCAAACTAGTCAATTCCCATAATTGAAACCAGCCAATTCCCATAATTGAAACCAGCCAATTCCCATAATTGAAACCAGCCAATTCCCATAATTGAAACCAGTCAATTCCCATAATTCAACCCAGTCTATTCCCATAATTCAAACCAGTAAATTCCCATAATTCAAACAAGCCAATTCCCATAATTCAAACAAGCCAATTCCCATAATTCAAACAAGCCAATTCCCATAATTCAAACAAGCCAATTCCCATAATTCAAACAAGCCAATTCCCATAATTCAAACAAGCCAATTCAAATAATTCAAACAAGCCAATTCCCATAATTCAAACAAGCCAATTCCCATAATTCAACTAGTCAATTCCCATAATCCAACTAGTCAGCCAATGAAATATTGAAAAACACACAGGTCATATGTCAAGACATGACACTGTACTGATTGTTAAATAGTAAAGAAAATGAAAACCAGTCAGCCATTTTGAATCAGAACTTCAAGCAAAAGCACGTCAATATTACCGCTATGTAACATGTGTAATGTAGGGGGGGGGGGGAACATGACATGTCAGAGGCATTTTCATTTATTACTGTTAAATATTTTATTTTCGCTTGGAATTTACTTGCGCTATTTTTGGTGAGGGATAATTCAGTGAAAATAAAATAGCAAATATACCTTTTTTCCTATATTTTACATTCAACTCATCAAAAACCAGTGAAAATAAATCCCATACAAAACACCCAAAATGTCTTTTCAGTGAAAATTAATTCTAGCTAAAATAAAGTATTTTACAGTAGTATTGACCATCTCCAATCACATCGCGAAAAACATGGACGTGAGTGAGCACATCTCTCAAGATGTACATGTACCGGGTATATAATGTATTGTAAATGTGATCAGCCTGAACATGTCCAAGATACAGAGGTAGGAACTCATTAAACACATGTGTTTTCTACTATTTAATCAAACACATACAGCTATATTAGTGAAATAATCAAATTAAAGCACAAGTGTATCAGGGATTTTTTTAAACAAAGGAACAGGGACACAGCGCCCTCATGCCATGGCCATGTGCCTCCTTACCCTGGGGAGCAAATCCACTGGCAACCATAAAATTCTGATTGACCAGGGATCACATGTGGCCACAGTCTTCAACTGTGACCTGTCTAATAGTAATTTTGGCCCCAAGGAATCCATAGAATGCTCCATTTTAACTTAGAATTATCATAAACTCCACACCCTGGTTGGGAGAACCATATCTCCCCCACTTAGTGGCGCCGCTTAATTGCAGAGCTCCCTCTTGCAGTTTTTTTCTAGAAAAACCCCTATGTATCAAGTGAAAAAACATGAAAGTAAATCAATTATAAAGCAATATGAATTACGTGATGCACTGAAAGTTAAAAAAGATGGATAGCATCAACTAATGAGAGCAAGGAATAAAGCATTCACCGATGTTAACCATGCAAGCCCACTTAGCTTACAAGAAATAAAGGTTCAGTGAAGATAATGATTATAATACCCTAAGAAAAAAAATCCTGCAAAGCAGTAAATAAGATGGATAGATAGATATTATCAAGATTGCAAGGAATAAGATTTTTTATTTTATCTCCAGAAGTAGTACCATATAAAGAAGAATAAGTATTTTATTTATCAGGCGCTAAACTGACCTTGTGGTTTTCCAATTCATCACGTAGCTGGCGATTTTCTTGTATTAACTGGTCTTTGTCATACTGTTGTGTTAAAAGATGTTAACAGAATTATTATCAGTGAAGTGAAGTAGTTCAAATCTTTATTTTTTCAATGTGATGTTTACCTTAGGAGTATGTATGAATTTTTAATATTTAATTTGTCAGTTAACTGGAAATCTCTATAGATGTTTGTTTACTATTTATTAATATGCTTATGTTCCTGAGTTACATCAGGCCATCATTTAGTGGTATCAATCAGTGACTTTTGTATGTGTACAGTACACAAGTTGGGAGTATCCTAAGCAATTTTTATGCAAAATACAAAATTCTAAATAAAAACAAAAGAAGTGACAAGTTTTGCCACGAGAGGGCGTGAACCCATGTATCAAAGTAGGGAAGGCCAGAATCTCAATTTGTGACAGGGTATATTACTAAAAGCGGAGGAGTCATCACCTGCGTATGTGGCAGATGGCCACAGCCATGTCATTGTTTACAAACAAGCGTCTACCCATGAACCTTTGCGTTTTTAGCATGCATTGTTATAGTCACATAGACTCAATTTCTGCATGTGTGAAGGTGACAATCCCCCCGCTTTAGAATGAATCATTGGCAAGTCACCCAGATGTTAGAAGTCTATTTTCAGACACACATTTATGTCAACCTCTGAGTGTTTCTCAATTAGTAGACTTATGAGTTCGCCCAAGAAGGGACAATGTTATTTTCATGTAATAAATTATGACAATTCGTGATTTTTATAATAAGGATGAATGTGACTTTTGAACAAGTGACCTTGCGGTCGAAAGAGTTCCGCTGTAATTATTGACTGTTAGTTGGAAATGTAGGGTGGAGTGATGTTGATAAAGTTTGGCACCAGAAAAGAAACTGGTCATTGTATTATTGGAGTATGATATGGCCAGTCAGGATTTTTAAAACTCAAAATAGAATAGAGATTAAAATAGAGCTACGCAATGTTACAGATTTAATCAGTCTATAATCTGATAGGCTGTGATCAGTAATGGCCCAGGTAGTTCAGAACCCAACACAATGTCATTACCTTGACCTGAAATTCAAAATTCTTGAAAAACATTGGCCCTGGTAGTTCAGAACCCAACACAATGTGTACTGAAAAATGACCTTGACCTGAAATTCAAAATTCTTGAAAAACATTGGCCCTGGTAGTTCAGAACCCAACAATACACTTGTCTATTACAGTCCATGTATCATACATAGCCCATATAAAATGTATGGGAAAGTGGGGAAAAATTTTTAAAAAAAATTTTCACAAAAATTGTCATAACTTTCACAAAAATAGAGATATCTTCACCAAATGAACAAATTTGGAAGAGACTCATCTGTGTGTCTACATTATGAATCACAAAGGAATCTGGTAGGTGGTTTTGAAGAAGAAGTCACAAACATGAGCCAAAAAAAACAAAAATATTTATTAAAAACACTTACATATGGTCTCATGAAATTAATAAGTCAGAGTCTAGTCCATGTCAAGAACATTCATGCCAAATTTCAATGCAATCGGACGAGCAGTTGTTGAAATAATAATTTTTGACCAAAAATGACAAAAATATTCCCTAAAAATAGAGATTTGGATGTGATGTCATGGAAGGAACAAATCTGAGAGAAGACCATCTCAGATAGCTGTGCTATAAATGTCAAGGTGATCTAGCTTATGGTTTGGGAAAGGAAGTCGCTTGAATAAAAGTAGACCCAGTAAACCCATGAGCTCCGATCGGTCATCTTCGATGACAGTGGAACTAAAAAAGAATTCCCTGAAATTAAGAGCAATTAGCAATTAATTATGAACTTCTTTGCATTTTGACCAATTTTCAATTCAAAAATGCTTTTTAAAGGGCAGTAATCATCAGTAATTCATGCTCAAGATACACGTCATATATGAACAAAGATGGCAACTTTGACTGTTGACTGACCAGCCAGTACAAACTAAGATTTAACCAAGCTTTAAGTAGGTTATTTCTTTGGTGATTGGAAGGTATCAAATGAGTCACCAGCAGTAATTAGGGCATGTCATGCTCAGGACAAAACTCGTACTTGTTATATCCATAAGAAGGGCGCATCGGATTGTGGGACAATCACACATTTGCTCTATGCTGTATTTTTTACAAGTTTGCAGCATCCATCCATGGCTGTGGTAGACTCCAATGACAAGCAGTCACAACACATTATAATTTATAAAATAGAATAGTCAGTACTGCACATAAAATATTCACATTAAAATGGTCATAAAAACAGAAATAACTGATGTAAGTATACAAATGTCTAACAAGCAATCGATTGAAGTGAATACAGATGAGCAAGAAACGCGTCAAACAACCATCACCATATTTTCACTTGCCATACATCATAATACAGTATCCTTTTGAAAAAGCTAGGTGAACTTTAGTAGCTTACAGGATTACTTAGCATTTCATAACTATAATGAATTAATGTACATTGCACAGCAAAAAGACCAGGTATCAATGAGAAGAATGTCATCACTGCCACCAATGTAACTTAAATACTAACCCAGCACCATAAAGCATTTCAAACAGTGGACAGTGTGAAAGATGGAATATGATAAACCTCATTATTGTACATCTGACACCAAGAGCTATAGAAATCATCCGTCAGTAAAACACTGTACGGATGTGTTTGAGAGTGTTATGGACACAAGTGATGTCCTTTTTTTGAGAATATGCATCATGTATGTGTCACATCCAAACATTTACTTTTGTTTAATGACTCAAACATAATC